CGCCACGCGCCGCGCCGCGCAGGGCCGCCGGCAGCGCGACTCCGCCCGGCCCTGAGCATGGCCGGGCGCCGGGCCCGCGCCCAGCCGTGACCCGCGGGCAGGAGGGAGGGGCAGCTGCAGAGGGATGCCCCGCTGCTCCCCGCGGAGACCTGCAGCCTCCCTCCCAGGCCGCCCGGGAGAGCACAGCTTTGCACTGATGCCACCGTGAGCAAGCGCTGCCCCGCGCCCCGTGGTAGGCAGGCGACTCAGCGGTGGCAGCTGTTTCCCACCCGTGTGCGAGGCAGCCCGCCTGCGGCAGCTTTCCCCCATTCAAACCAGCCGTCGCTTCAGTTCTTCCCTGGGGGCCTGAGACGCAGTCAAAAGCTGCCCTTTTGGGAGAAGCAGGTTTGAAAGGCCAGGCCTGGACTCTGGCTGCACCCAGAGCAGCCGGCAGGATGACAGCCAGAGTGGATCAGGTGCGGGGGCAGCTGAGGGATCCAAGAGGTATGCTACTGAACAGCGTAGTACTCTGAAAACGGGATAGTTTCCTAACGGTTCATCAAAATTAAGGGGAAAAGTTAATGCAGCAGAATTGGGTTCAGTTTAGTCATTAGGTAAACTTGTCCCTCTTGTGTTCTTCAGTGCATTTCACCATTCCTATTCACAAAGCATTTCAGCTACTTTGTCACTGGTGCAAACTATAAGCCGTGAATTTCCCACAGTCACCACATACAGAGGTGCAATGAAGTTTGCTCTCGATAAATCTTTGGCGTATCAAACTGACCGGCACCTTGCGAACACATTGCAGATTTAACTGAAGTGCTCTCGTGAGGGAACCAGTTTAAGGCACGTGACAAGCAGCAGCCAGGCCTAATTCCAGCTTGATGCCAAGCATTTGAACAGGGAAACAATGAGCGGTAAAGCATATCGAAGCACAACATTGAGCAGGAAAGCAGACGCCATACGAGAAATAGCTAAAGGTAAATCAAAAGCCCAAGTATGTAAAGAATTTGGTGTGCCACGTACCACTCTGAACGGCTGGCTACAAAACCAGGAAAAGATTTTGGATGCTGTCGACCAAGCAATGTTTCGTCCAGATCGAAAGAGAATGCGTACAGCGTTAAATGGCGATGTAGAGGCTTGCCTGGTGCAGTGGTTACGACAAGCCTGTGCAAACAATGTTCCTATTAACGGGCCCTTGCTAGCCTGCAAGGCTGTTCAGTTTGCCAGTCAGCTGGGCATTTCCGATTTTAATTGCAATGAAGGATGGGTGGAAAGATTCAAGGCACGCCATGCTATTTCACTAAAGCGAGCCTGCAGCAAGGGCAAGACAATCCCCGTTGGGGGCATCCAATTGTGGAAAAACACAACCTTGCTTTCCATCGTTCGTGAATATGATGCTAAGAACATTTACAATGCTGACGAGACGGGCCTGTTTTACAAAATGCTACCAAATAAAACTCTGGCTTTTAGAGACAAGAGGTGCATTGATGGTGAGCATAGCAAACAGCGCCTAACCATACTGCTGATGGCAAATATGGATGGAAGTGATAAAAGGAAACCATTGGTGATTGGTAAATCAAAGAACCCATGTTGTTTCAAAAATGTGAAGAGTCTCCCTGTGTATTACACTGCAAATAAGAAGGCTTGGATGGTTGGTGCTGTCTTTGAAGAGTTTGTGCGAGATTTTGATGCAGAGATGCACACTCAGAAAAGAAGAGTGGCACTGATTGTGGATAACTGTCCAGCTCATCCAGCAAGCATTAGCGGCTTGAAGGCTGTTCAGGTGGTCTTCTTACCTCCCAATACCACGTCACACAGCCAACCCATGGATAGTGGTGTGATTAAAACCTTCAAAGCTCACTATCGTCGTTTGCTGATGAGCAAGATCTTGTTAGCCATGGATGCCAAGGAGTGCTTTAAGCCAGATGTTTTGATGGCAGTTCAGCTCATAAAACAAGCTTGGAATTTGGTGCAGCAAAGCACAATTACCAGCTGTTTTTGTCATGCCGGATTTGTCAAAGAGCATCATGTACCACCAGAAGCAGCTAACTTTGAAGCACTCTACTCATCTAACATGAATGAACTGCGCTCACAGCTTCAGAGTTTAGGCATCTGGCCATCAACTCTCACAGCAGATGATTATATCAATTTTGATTCCTCTCTCTGTGTGGCAGAACAGTGCTCTGATGAGGATATTGTTGCAGCAGTGCAGAGCAAGAGAGATGATGCAAGTGATGACAGTGAAGTGAGTGATGAAGAAATCCAGATGCCCTCTATACCACTTGTCAAGCCAGCTGATGCTCGCAAAGCACTGGATACTCTTCAGCTTTTCTTGGCTCAACAAGACATAGATGATCAACTGTTCCACTTTGCAGAATTATCTTCTATTTTGGCAATGAGTGCATGTAAAAGCACAAAGCAAAAGTGTTTGACTGATTTTACTCCACTGTAATCATTTGATTATTACATAGCAAACACGCTGAATTTTTGTAATAAGACATTTGTACATTAAGCATTTCTGTATCATCATTTTTTTCCTTCACTATGTCTGAAGTTAGTCTTTTATTGTGTCACTATGGCATGCAAAATGCAGTAGGTAATGGTGACTAATTATCAGTAGTTACTGTTTCACTTGCTGTGATTGTCATTCATGGATAACTAGTCATTATTGTTAAGTCACTCCTCTTGAAGTGATTAATTAAGTGTTTGTCTGGTGCATGTGTTTTGCTGCCAATTCAAACTATTAAAACTACCATAATTGTGTCAAAGCTTTACCACGTAGATTGTTTAGCAGAAAAGCTGAAAAAACTTAGTATTTTTTAACTCAAAACATAAATAGTTCAACTTTTTTGTTAGCCCGACAAGAACTCCGAACAAAGATTCCTATTAAAAGTTTTTCATTATCTGACTTTACCAGTCTGTCCCTATAAGCAGGTTCCTTAAATTACTATCCACTATATGCACTGGTGAGTTGAGAGAACAACAGCCTTTTCTATAATAAACATACCTAGAAAGAAATAAGATGACATGTTAATCTCATGGAAGTGGACTTTATTGTACAGTTCATCCACATATACGTAACACACTTGCATAAGGACAAAGCCAGTGCTTATCATATCACATTCATTCTTTCAGTGATGACCACTAATTTCTTCTGCCAGTGGTGGGACTACTTCTCCTGTCTCTAGAATTGTGTCACCCTAATGAAATGAAAAAAGATCACGATGAATATTTGTCAAGGGTCTGATCACGCATTTCTAAATTACATACACTAGAAAAAAAGTAAACATTATACTGGGTCAGTTCTAGACAGATTCTCTTCAAATAAATTTGAATCCTTTGCCCACATTTTCTTTAACTAAACATCGACAAGTAGTTTCTCATGACTTTACATGCAAACAATATTGTGCATTTCCCTCCGTATCACACGCGGACACTCTTCCCCTTTGCAGAGGAAAGTCGTTTTGTTATTAGTTTGAAGTCAGGCAGAAGATAAATAAGTTGCACTTCATAGACAGACTAAATCAGAGATGCATAGCATACTCTCTCATAAGCAGCAGACTTACTTCACCAGATGCTACAATGGAGTATCTGATGAACTGATCCTGCTGCTTGTGAAAGCTTTTTATGCAGCTCTGATTTAGCTAGTCTATAAAGTGAAAATCTACCCTGCCTTCTGCCGTTCTTCCCTTTTGCTAGGCAAGCACGCTAACCTAACCACACATTAAAAAGGGCATCTTTTTAGAAATGAGACTCATTCTAGGCCCTGGGACTACACAGTCTTGAGTAAGTCCTGCTTACACTTTATTGATCTATTAGATTTCAATATATTCTCTAAACGTGACCAAAAGCACTCTACAGCCCCAGGTGTGCCCCCATATAAGATGACAGCCTCTCAAACTCTCTAAGTGCCCCTTAGCAAAACCTTTTCATAGTATTTTTTTTCAGGTTTCATGGCTTTTGCACATTACAAAGGGTGCTATGGAATCAGTACTCTATGATTCCATACCAAGCTCATCTGTATCCTAAAGAATGGGTAACAGGAAGTGAAGTGGGAGCTTGTGCTTATAAAAAGAGTGAAAATGCTCCAGCTACCATGATTTGTCTGCCTTGAATAGAAAGGAAAACCTTCATAATGTAAAGCTTTGTGGAGAAATCCAAGAAGCAATCAACACGGTGCTCATAGGAACAGTCAGTGATAAGCAAGGATCCTGGTTTTCTGTTTAAAAATCACAAATTCTCTGATAAAAATGCACTCTCTGATTGAAAAACCCCAAATCCATGATTAAAATGAAATGCCCACCTGGCAGCAGCGAGGGGCACAACTCTGCACCACTACCCCTGCTGCTGCGGGGTGGGCAGGGGGCACCTTGCCAGGGTGGTGCAGAGCTTGCAGCAGCAAGGAGTTACCCAGTTCCGCTCTGCCCTGCTGCACCAGGTCCTACCCACTGGGCTGCGGAGGCCTCAGGGGAAAGGTGGCAGCAGCAGCAGGCAGCCCACCCCCACCCCACACACAGATCTGGGGGGCACGTGTAGCCTCAGCCTACCCAACTCCCCCTCACTCCCTATGGGGACACTATACCCTTCCTCCCCTGCCAGATTTACCTGCGGGAGCTGCTCTCCAGGCTGCCAGATGCATGTGTGAGCATGTACATTCACATGGCATCCCCTGCCTGACCATCCTCCTGCTCCCCCCAGCCCCTTGCAGGCTGCAACTCTGCCAGCCTGCAGAGAGCTCTTGGCGAAAATGGAAAATCCACATTTTTCCATTAAAATGAAAAATCTGTGTTTTTCTCAGTTAAGAGGGAAAATCCACATTTTTTTCATGGAAAATGGAAAACCCAGATCCCTGGTGATAACAAATCAGCTGCTTACTCTGATTTCAAATCCCAGTCACTGTAGCAGTAGTAAAGTAGGATTATACTGTCCATTCTGAGGGGATCATTAATGTTTCTAAGGCTTCTTTAGATAGCATATTACATTCCTTTGGTAATCTGCACACTTTATCAAAAGGAATCATTTTAATTTTATTTCCCAAACACCATTATCCTCACATATTCATTCTGCTTCTGCCAATCATTTTCCACACTTTCCCCCTATTCCTTTATTTTATTTTTGAAGCCAACATATTATAAGAGAATAGTTTAAATAGACTCACTGGGAATATTCTGGGCTTCGAGCAAACAAGACCATATGGCTTATTCTGTAATAAAAAAAAAGGACAGAATGGTCAGAATAAAAGATTTTGCAGGATGATTTTGAAATATGGAAGACAAATACACATCTCTAAAATACAGGATTTAATACAATTTATGTTACGCAGCACTAGCTTCTCTAATAACTTCTTTATAGTTCTTCAGGACAAGAGTTACAAACAATAAAAAACACACTTCAGACAGGTAAGAATTTCAAAACTTTTAAGTGAGAGCAAAAATAAACTTTTCTAGGAGAAAAATGTATACTTTGCTATCATTCCCCTCCTCTGTTTCTCCAACAGCAACTAGGCCTTACAAGAGGATTTCTTGAGTCCTGGCTATCAATGTTACGGCTTCTTCAGGAAAGTAATAAGGTATGAGACCATGGTTTACAGGCCTGCTACAAATATAAGTAAATCATGAACTGTCTCTGACTGATATTTATTAAGTTCAAGCTAACTTCACCTTAAATACTGCCAGATAATTAAATTGTTTTCTATTGTGCAGACACTCATGACTACGTGCAAGTATTTCTACCAGTGTGATAAAAAACTGGTTTTCCCCAGGACAAAATAAATCCCATCTAATGTATTTTCCCATTCTAAACAAGCCCTGTAAATTACTTACATATTTAAAAGTTTTCTGACGCTAAAAATAATACATTCTGATTTCAATCTTCTAAAACTATTCTAGAAAATTACAAGGAAAGTAGCTTGTTTTGGGACTGTCACTACACCTAGAAGGCAGAAGGTGTATAGGGAAGGAAAATGGTAGAATAATCAGACTCTGTGGAATCAGCAGTCACTGGATGGGGACAAAAGCAAATGGTTGGGAGCTTCATGTTCCAGAATTTTGCAATTATTGAAAATCAGGCAGTGCATCTGATAATGTGGCTATAAGCTGAACTAGCTCCGTTTTCAGTCCCGAGGCCTAAATTTGAAAGGTGGTTGTTTTCATTCCAACTATAAAACTCATAAAATACCCCATTATGAAAACACTACCCCCAAATTCTTTACTTACCATTACTTGGTATTTGACATGGTAGTAAATAACCCAGGTAGGTATAAGCAAGAAGCATACGGCAAATACACCACCACGATACGCTCTGAAAACCTGGGAACAAAAATAAATGATAATCCACTTTACTTTAAAATCTTACCATTTGTAACATCCAATGCTGAAGTCATCCACCCAGACCAGCTGCATCTTGACACTTCTGTAGTTCTAACGGAATTTTAAACTTGGGGAAACCAGCCTCACATGCCTAGGAAGTGAAGTCTCACTAGACATCATAGAAAATCAGGGTTGGATGGGATTTCAGGAGGCCATCTAGTGCTTTACTACCGTCCTGATGAGAAAGGTTTTCCTAATATCTAACCTAAATTTGCCTTGCTGCAGCTTGATACCATTGCTCCTTGTTCTGTCATCTGTTACCACTGAGAACAGTCCAGCTCCATCCTGTTTGGAGCCCCCCTTCAGGGAGTTGAAGGCTGCTATTAAATCCCCACCTGTCTTCCCTTCTCCAGGCTAAATAAGCCCAATTCCCTCAACCTTTCCTCACAAGTCATGGTCCCCAGGCCTTAAACCATTTTTTATGACCTCTGTTGGACTCTCTCCAATTTGTTCACATCCTGTCTGTAGTGGAGAGCCCAAAACTGAACACAGTACTTCAGATGTGGCTTCATCAGTGCTGAATGGAGGGGAATAATCACTTCCCTCAATTTGCTAGCAACACTCCTAGTAATACAGCCCAGTATGCCATTAGCTGTCTTTGCAACAAGGGTGCACTCTTGGCTTAGTAAGCTTACTGTCCACTGTAACCCCCAGGTCCCTTTCTGCAGAGCTGCTCCTTTGCCAGTCAGTCCCCTGCCTGCAGAGGTGCAATCATCCATCCACTTCAACCAAGAATGGACAGAACCACTTCAGATGAAGAGGCAGTTCTGTTTCCATCCCCCGGGGCAACATGGGATGAGTGCAAATTGAACATAGC